GTTGCTGGTGTTCCTTTAAACTGCGAGAAAAAATCAGTATGTCATCCAGATAGACAAAAACAAAATGGTTGAGCATGTCACGGAGAAGATCATTCATAAGGCCCTGGAAAACTGCAGGGGCGCTAGTGAGGCCAAAAGGCATAACTAAATACTCGAAATGCCCTAGAGGCGTGTTAAACGCTGTCTTCCACTCGTCGCCTTCACGGATTCGTACTAAATGGTAAGCATTGCGGAGGTCTAACTTAGTAAAAATCTGTGCATGACATCGTGACTGGAAAGAGGGATCAATGAGAGGAAGTGGAGTGCAGTTTTTAACTGTGATGTCGTTGAGGCCCTGGTAGTCAATGCATGGGCGTAGTGTCGTGTCCTTCTTTTCTACAAAAAAGAAACCCGCTCCTAGAGGAGACGAGGAAGGGCGGATGAGTCTAGCCGCCAGAGACTCATTAATGTAGGTTTCCATGGCGGTTTTTTCGAGCAGGGACAGCTTGTATAGCCTGCTGGATGGAAAAGATGCTCCGGGAATTAAATCTATGGAACAGTCATAAGGGCGATCGGGGGGAAGAGAGCAAGCTTTATCTTTGCTAAAGACCGTGGCTAGATCATGGTATTCCGATGGAACAGACGTGAGATCAGGTGGTGGCAGTGGTGGAGCAGCCGGACTTTTCTCTGGAGATGCGGACCGTAAACAATGGGCGTAGCATGCAGTGCTCCAACCCGTGATGGAAAAGGTCGTCCAGTCCATCTGGGGATTGTGCTGCTGCAACCAGGGAAGACCCAATACCACCGGGGCTAGCGGAGAGGGAATGTTTTCTCTGTGATTGCCAGAAATAACCAGAGACATAGGAGCAGTGCGGTGTGTAACCTTTGCCAGGAATCTTCCGTCGAGAGTATTAATGAGGCGAGGTGTGTCTAAAGCTACCAGAGGGGCGTTAATTTGTTTAGCTAAGTTAGCATCAATAAAGTTATCATCCGCCCCTGAGTCAATCAATACATGCACAAGAAAAACTCGAGAATATACATGAAGGTTAGCGGGCATAGAGCCTCGAGAGGGAGAGCTAGAAGAAGAGGGAATACAGCTCACCAGACTGCTCTCTTTCATCGGTGAGCCCGGCCTTTTAACGACTCTGGACAACTCGCTGCATAGTGTCCTGCTTGTCCACAGTATAAGCATAGAAACCCCTGCAACCGCCTCTGTCGCTCCTCAGGAGTCAAGCGGGTCCAGCCTACTTGTATGGGTTCCTCACCGGCAGTGGAAACAGGTGACGTCCTGTCTGGGCTGCGGGTCGGTGTCCCTGGAGTCTGGGGGGAAGGAGCTGGGGAAAACGTGAGTCTCCGAGCCCTGACCGCTTTCTCTCTTCTCCGTTCGTGCAACCGATTATCAATCTTGATAGCGAGAGAAATTAATTTCTCTAACGAGTCCGGCGCGTCTCGTTAAGCCAATTCATCTTTTAATTCTTCGGATAAAAGAGCCATAAGCGCCGGCTCATCCCACCCACTTTCTGCTGCTAGAATCCTAAACGAAATTGAGAAACTTGCTACCGACTGTGAACCTTGTTTGAGATCAAACAGACGGTTAAGGGCTTCACGTCCTTTAACCGAATGATCAAAAATACGACAAAGTTCATTAGTAAAAGCTTCATACGAACCCAGGAGAGCAGACTTATTCTGCCAAAGGGCAGTAGCCCACTGGGCTGCCTGACCCCTCGAATATGTGTTTCCTGTTAAAGGGACCAAGGTTGAAAAACTCAAACAAGACCCTTAATCCTATTATGCAATACCTCCAGTTTAGTTTAAGCCTGAATACACAGTTTGAAAAAGTCAATTGTGGTTTATTTTTTTCCTGTGATGTGTATTGTATGTATATTGTGATATCAATAAAGTTTTGAGAAGATCACTTTATCTATCAAAAAATAAATTGCACTGTCACAATCACTTCATGAGAAGAGGTAGAAAACATTTTATTTCAGCTGGTATGGGCAACGGTGTATGAGAAGTACAAACTCTTTTGCCACCAACTCATTTTAAGTTGTGTAATCTTTGCAATTCTTCTAAACCATATCACAAACCATCAGTCTCCACTGCACATGTTGGCAAAGACGCTGTAAATCCCTGGGTAATGTGGACATGTTGGAGAGAAAAACACACAAAGCAAAGCATCAATTTTGTTAGACCTTCAAAATGTGTGTTGTTTTCTCATTGTAGTGTTTAACTGTTAGTTTGACTAATTTCTGGTAAAGTACACTGGAAAAAAATGATTATGATCCCGTTTAAATGTCACATATTTTAATCAAGTGGATTTTAATAGAAATTAATTCGTTATTTAATTCTGCTCATTAAATTTAAGTAATTACTTCCAAAATTAAAACAAGCTTATTTTACTCAATTAGTTGTCGCTTAAAATGTGTACTTGTTTGCACATGCTCATTTTCATGCCTCTACTTGCGCCTGCTCATTAACGACTGGCCACTCGATGCTCCAAGCTGTGCTGCAAGCTATTGCCCTCCTCCACGCTTTTGCCGTGTCTCTCCCTCTACATCCTACTGCCATGTTTACACGTAGCCGGGTGTTTACAAAAACGGATCTACGTTTTCAAAAATAACATTGTGCTCACCAGATCGTTTTCAAAAAAATCTGTTTACACCAACCCACATAAACATATCCTTAAGAACTGCTATGAGCTGCCAAACCCATAGGGGGCAGTGTAACGAGAAGCATAAAGCCACGCTAGCCAATCAGAATACTGGAAAAAACACAACAACAAATGGCATGAGTTACTTCCTGTTACTTCAACGATAACGATGTGAGTCGTTCATTTGGACCGACAGGGAAGCTCCTCAGTGGGCAGCAGGAGATCCTCAGCTGTTGGATGTGGTTTCTTGCAATTCTGTTCCACGGCTCCAGAGTAACTTTTCCAGTGGTAGCATGATGCTACCAACTTTCTTCATTGGTCGCACCAGCTAATGATCTGGTCGCCCCACTGCCTTATTTTGGTTCAGCATTGCCACAGCTATGAATACACCATGCAGCTGATGAATAGTTGTTTCTGCATAACTTAGTTATGATGCAGTGATCTTTAGTGATACAAGACTCGATATTTGTAAAATGTTTTAACCTTAAAATATATTTATTTTGTCACCAATCCTCTTCTAATAACAGTCATTAACTGGACACAGGCTAAAAAATCGTTGAAAGTGCCCATGGGTAGATGATACAGTTTACCGATGTTCCCTAAACGCCTCACATGCCGCTCGGGTAGGTGCTACATTTTACCGATGTTCCCTAAATGCCTCACATGCTGCTCTGGTAGATGGTACATTTTACCGATGTTCCCTGAACGCCTCACAGGCCACTCCGGTAGAAGCCACATCTTACCGATGTTCCATAAACGCCTCACATGCTGCTCCGGTAGATGCTACTAGTTGTGTGCAGTGCAGCGTCTCTGACAGGTCAGCGACCAAACCTTTGTTGGAAAACAGTGGAAAGTGATCATCAATTTGCCCAAGTTGAAAAGTTTTCTATTAGCAGAGTTTTTAATTTATTTAATTTATATTATATTATTTTTTTTATTTTATTACGAGCTGAGTGCATTTTAAATGTCTATACCACTGGCCATTCGCTGTTAAAATGTGAATGGGGGGGGTGCGTCCCACTGTAAACATGGGACGCACACATATCAATCAAATCAAGTCAAGTTTATTGTTATTTTGCTGTACATACACAGTAGTACAAACAAGATGAGAGAGCGTTTCTTCAGGATCCAAAAACTAAAAGAAATTAAATATAGAAGTGTTTGCATATCTGGATCAGCAGTTCAGCATTCTGACAGCTTGTGGAATGAAGCTGTTGATCATTCTGGAGGTTCTTCCTTTGATGCTTGGGAACATTTGCCTGATGGTGGCAGTTCAAACAGTTTATGGAGAGGGTGTGAGGAGTCCCTGACAATGTTTAGTGTCCTGCTCCTGCAGTGGCTCTGGAAAAGTTCAGAGCTCGCTGTCTGTCTGTCTGACCAGAACCATGTCTTCTTCTCCAGCTGTATGGCCGTCTGGGATGTTGTTGTAACCCACCTAAAAATTACTATCTAGAAATTCATGAAGATATTTCATGCTAGGCACAAGTCAAAAGTTCATTTGAATAAATTAGTAGGATTTGCAAGGAAATAAATATTTTGAACATTTCATTTATTTACAAACAAATACACAACGGGATAAAATAAGTGTTCAATAAGTTAATAAGTTAATATGAGTTTTCTATTTCACTGTGCAATCGGGCACAAATGGTCAGGCTGAGTCTTTTTTTTTTTTTTATATCTGAGTCGTTATTATTTGCGACACTTTACAGCAGTTGACAAGCGCTGGGTGGTAACGTTCTCTAGGTGTCAGCGGGACTGCGCGGTCTACGTTCTTTTCCATGCTTGCTGTAGTGGGAGGTAGACGTGAACTTTAGCGCTCTGTGAGATACAGAAACGAGGTATTTGTTGTAATAGATAAGTTCATATACATTGTTTTCTCTCAATTTTTGTTGTGTTTAAATTTAAGATGTTCCTGTATATCCGAGGTGAATGTTCAGATTTTGCTGCACTGTCTGTCTCAGGATTAGTGAGGCTGTCGGTTCAATGTGTATAAAAATGTACATTAACTGCTGTTGCATATAACTTAGTTAGCTGTTTTAAAAGTTATGTGGCCAGTGTTTATTGATTTCGCTGTGTTTAAAGATTAATTGATAGCTCAGACGTGGAGGTGTAGCAGGTTGAGTCCAGCCGGTTATGCATTAGATAGGCAGCTGCGCTGTACTGCGCTGCCTGTTTTTTTTCTCTTTACCATGCTTGCTGTAGCGGGAGGTAGACGTGAAGTTTAGCGCTCTGTGAGATGCAGAAGACGAGGTCCAGACCTGGGGATATTCCAGCGGGGTGTCTGAAACTTGTTTTTGTTGTAATAGCCCGGACTGTGTGCGGTGTCTCGGTGTGACGGAGGAGGTGTGTCCACCTGCTCTGTGCCGATTTCTGCCGCCAGGAGTGACCGTGGCTGTGGACGACCGACTTGGATTCGCGCGTCGCCAGCAGGACGTGGATACGTCATGTCTTCTACATCAGTAAGATCTTTCCATTGTTTGTGACCGGCAAGACCACTTCTAAAAGTGACGTTTGGGTTGAGCTATGGTTGTGCACAACTAAACTGAATTAAGGGACTACAGAGCTGCAGCAAGACCTTTATTTTGGCCAGATTTTATTTATTTATTTATTTATTTTTGAGGAAATTGAGGTAAAATAAATAAATGCATTTTTATTGTAAATGTATGTGTTTGTTTTGGGAAATGCAGAAATAATAATTTTGGTACAGCGAAGTAACTAACTTGTGTCTGTGTATTATTCTCTGTGTGAAATCACTCCTTTTCTATGGTCTAAGACTAATTTATTACTCTGTGTAAATATATGTGGTCTTTACCCTCGAACCAGGATATCACTGACTAACTAACTGTGGTGATCCCAGACCCAGAGATTTATTATTTTTCTGCAGTTTTGTTAAGATGTGGTTACGTTGTCTTGGAGCCATGTTTCTGTTAAAGCAAACACACAGCAGTCCCTCCACTCTCTGTGGGTTTGTCCCAGCAAACGTAGCTTGTCCAGCTTGTTGTGGAGGGAGCGTACATTGGAGAGTAGGAGGACGGTCCTGCTCATCTGGAGGGGTTAGCCTCTAGCCGAGCATGGATCCTGGCTCTATTCCTCCTCCTTTGTTTACGTTCGTACTGTTTATGCTTTCTTCTCTCTCGGGTAACTGCTGGCATAGTCTCCAATCAGACTCTGTGGTGGTGTAAGTATGTCCACATCACAGCCGAGTGCCGCAATTTTAGCGACATTCATTGTCCTGATGTTCAGCAAAGTCTCTCAGCTGTAAGTTTTGCGGAATGAACATCTGGGATAGACAAGACACTCAAAACTTTCACTCTCGCTGTCTCCTGAAGGAGAAACTCTGTGGAAACTCTATAGAAATATGATGCCAATGACGCTTTTGTCGAATACTGTGACGTCAAACTCCGTCTCCTCCCCTTTACGTGCAAATGTACAGGCGTGGGCTGTTTTTCACTACTCAAGTATGCAAGTCCGTACTTGCATTCTCGTAAGTCCATACGGACTTGCAAGTACGGACTCGTTATTATGGACTTGCGAGTACGGGAGAACGCATTGCCGTTTATGTGCAATTGGGACAGCAGCGTACTCGATGACGTCAGCACCTCAGCTCATCTACTCTGATTATCTTTACCGTGAAAAACAACAAAATTAAGTTAAATACAATAACACAGCTCTGCTTATTTACATTTTTATATCTATAACAATATGTATACATTTTGAGGATTCTAAGATCGTTATACAATCTTTATTGAAGCCATTGATTTTTTTGACAACAGTGTCTGATCAAACAGGTTAAATGTTGGAGGAATGTTGGGGGAAAATGTAATTGTGGCTTCAGCAATTCATATCAGACAATTCATCTTTGGAATACAGTTGAAAATGTTTAATTGCAAAAATACTTAAACAAATAAGAACTATATAATAATTAATAAGTAGTTTTTTATAAGATTTCCTGTTAAAACAAGACAAAAGTCTCTTACAAAACATATCACAGATGTAAAACGTTGTGCCTCTCCTCCTCCTGATGTTCTTCAGTGGAGCTGGAAACAGCATCATGCTGAAGATGCACCATCAGAAGGTCCAGGATGGAGCTGCTCATGTTCTGTGGAGTCTCCCAACAGTCAGGGAGGACGTTTATCCAGCTGGCGCTAATCTAAAACATTGCTTAAATGTTAATTTTAAATGCACAGAAACAGTTATGAGAGTAGAACAAGGCTATACTACAGGTAATGAAAGCGAGAAAATAATTCAGACGTACGAAGGCAGCGATCAAGTACAACACTAAATAAAAATATAAAGTTTCAACATGAACTTTAACTTCTTTCAAATGAAGAAGAAAGCCATTTTCTTTTATTGTGATGGTCAAAGACCCCTGAATTCATTCCCTGTTGCCATGTGTCTTCCCATCACCTTTTGTCATGTGTTTTCCTACCTCCTGTCACAGGCACCCGATTCCACCCCCTGTTGTTCATTGCCCCCCTTACCTCCTGCCATTTGATTAGCAACTGTATGTTAATTTACCTCTATTCACCTCTGTATTTACATACAGGCCCCCCTTACCCTCTGACTTACAGTATAAATGTGTGACTCTGCAGATGTTCAGGGTCGGTCCACCTTCACAGACTCATGCTCTGTGTTGGTGAGCCCACCGTATACCGGAATACTAATAAACACCCACTACAGCAAACTTCACATGAGGACTATGAGTAAAATTTCTTCAACACAAACCAATTGTGAGCAATAAACAAATTACACTGTGAGGACAAAGTGTGACCGCTAAACTATGTATATTCCTGTTTTAGTGCTATGGAACCGTTAGAGCCAGCGGCGGTTTTCTTGCCGACATCAGGCTGCTGTGAGCGCTGACCGGCTGTCAAACCGGGACGCTCACATCTCTGAAATTGTCGGAGCTAAATTTTAAGCAGATAAAACGACCACATATTTTATGTTTATACCACTACTTTATCTCTTAAAATAATCTTAAAACTACACTTTGTGTCAAAACAACAATCCTATTTACAAAAAAACTTGTGTTACCGTTGAAAGTTTTCTCCTCGGCTTTTGTCACTGGTTGGCGCAAAATGCATTCTGGGATACTTGGCTGTCTGAAGTCCACACAGATCCGGTCTGATGCAGACTACATAATGTGGGCGAAGCAAGAACATATCCGGGCATTTCATCCGTACTTGGTCAGATGTGTACTTAGAATTGGGATAGTACTTGGTCTCTAAATGATGTTTCACAAGTCCGCTAGAACGCAAGTACAGACAAGTAGCTACATATACTGAGAATCTTTCAGTTAAGCCAGAGTTTTTCCAAATCTCTACTGTGGCCGGAGTTTTCAGAAATGATCGTTTTCGGTGACTCGTAGCTTCGTTACCATGTAAGCCAAAGGCCCAAACGCATTGAAATATCACTTTTCCTACGTGTAAACGGGTAAGTACTTCACAACCTTTGGTGTGTTATTCAGTTAGTTAGTTTAGTTAATTAGTTAGTTACGGTTCTGACATATGTTCTGATTTCGGCAGTTTTATCTTAGCTTGCCAGATGTAAATGTGATGTTAGCAAAGTTAATATCAGGCGAGTAAACATGTTTCTGATATACTATTAGTCATAATTCGTTTTGTGTCTGTGTGGGCTTAATTTCCTCATGGGGCAAATTGGGGCAAATTTTTTAATTAACAGTTTTTAGTAAACAAACACACTGAGTGCTAACACATTGATTATGGATTAAACCTCAGTTAATGAATACTGATCAGTCAATTGATAATCAATATATACTCAGAATATTGTGTGATTTTAATGGATTGTCCTGTCAACAGTGACTGAACACAGTGCTGTCTTGTCTTCTTTTGTGTTTAACAGATTTAAATGCTGAATTCCAGCATATTACAGTATGTCCACTTGGGACAACCTTCATGACACAGTTGGACAGTGTTCTGCCACAGCTGACATCCATTTTCCAGAAGAAGGGAGGTGTTGCTTGCCAGAAAGACTCGAAACATCTGCAGATCTTCCAAAAGGGAAAAGTCTGCATATAATGTTGCACAAGAGTTGTCAAAAATGCACTTTTCACACTTGTGTGTGTGTGTGTGTGTGTGTGTGTGTGTGTGTGTGTGTTTAGCCTTTATGTAGAAGCAGTACTGATTTCTCAGGTGAAACGGTGAAAGTACCACACCTGGCTTACAGGAATAGTTGACTTGAAGTAAATTCAGTCATTACCTCCTCCCCCTCATGCTGATGAGAAGTCTGCTGTAGTTTTTCATGCACAAACCAGGGAAGGGAAGTCTATAGAGATCAGTGATTAAACAGAATAAGATGACCCCTAAAATTCTTCATCTGTCTCCAAACTGCTTGTCTGCCATCTAAAGCCATTCGTCTTCATAGCATATAATCTGTTATGCCTGAACTACATTTGGGGACGGGCACAGCGCATCCTGTAGGTGGAGGGTGTGTTGTTTTTCTTGTTTTGATTTTAGCCTTAGTCTGGTCTTTGTGTCCAAAACTAATAAAAACTAAAATAAGAGATTATCAAGTTCATCCTTTTTTAGCCCAGTCAAGTTAGTCAACTAAAAGTCTGAACATTTTAGCTCTGAACCGAGTCAGTTGAACCGAACAGTAAAGATTTTTTTTCAGAAATCGTTCCATCCCTATTAGGAGTCATTGTATACTGTTTTAGTTTACCTGTTCCCAGGGGTCACAGGGTGGACTAGAGGAGCCATGTTTTTCTTTTTATTGATCAGATAATTTAAATTTAATAAAAGGGTCAACTTTGTGTTGCATTTGGTGTCGTTCATTAAAAATTTGTTCACTGAGTATAATTAGTTGTAATAGTTCTGTCATGTTTCTTTCTCCCCACATCTGAGAGACAGGCCCCGTTAACAGCCCAGCAACCATTCAGTCAATCACTATCTGCACCTCCCCCGTTCTCCACCAATCAGCTTTTAGCCCAGCCCTCAGCTCATTTTTTTACACTGTGTCTGTGTGCAGAGAGATCACATCTTCAATAAAGAGTGGTATGAAAGTGTGAATTTCGTCCTCATTATTGTTCTGGCCAGACAACTTGGGGAGACTGAGGAATTCAGATCAATCCTAAGATACAGTCCGTATCCGAGGTCACAAGTTTGTGTCTCCTTCCCGACACCTCATTTACATGGTCCTTCGAGCCGGATTCTCAGCTTCCTCAGCTCTATAATGGTTAACACTCGTCCTCGCCGCGATGTCCGTCGACCTCGCTACCTCAATGACTTCCTGGTGACTCTCCCGCCACGTCATCATCCTTCTTTCACACTCCATGACCACTCCACCGAGGGAGCATCAGCTCGACATCCTGCTCCAGTCATCTCACCAGCTCCAGGTAAACTTGAGCCTCAGAACCTATGCTCCGAAGCAGTCATGTCAGTTTTGCAGGCAATGAAAGAAGAGAACGATCAGTTCAGGCAAGATATGCAAAGCCTCTTTAATTCTCTCTCCCTGAGATCAGCACCTCAACCTCAACACGTCAGCCAAAGGCATCCCGTTAAGTTCGAAGAGAGCGCCACCTCATATGTGTCTTACCATCCTCCGGAGCAAACATCCACTCCTAATCGCAATTTCAG